TTTTTGGTTTACAGAAAAAATGTTTTTTTAAGAACAAAAATGAAAAACATCTTTTTTTCTAGAATTTTTGTATTTGTTATTTGTAGTTAAAAAATTATAAGTATTTATAATACAATTTGAAGTATAAATTAATTGATAATATATACATATCTATTATTGATTATATATTATAGATATTATAGATATTATATATTATTTTATTCTAATAATATAAAAACAAATAACATTTTATCATCATTGGGTCATAAAATGTTATTTATATTTAGTAACAATTAATAATAAAAACTGACTATCATTATCATAAACAGAATTTACAAATACTAAAAAATATAATATAATTGTAATTAATTATAATTTCTTGCTTTTTTTGGCAAGGAATTTGGGCTTTTTCCATCTCGTTTTTTATCAACTCACAAACGTACCAAAAACGAAAAATAACTAAAAATGAGAATCCATTTTCAAACCAATAAGGCCACACATATAGTTTCATAAATAGAGCAGTGATATGGAAAGTAAAGTCCAGGAACAAACACTGACAAATAAATACATTTTTTGATTGAGCAATTCACCAAAATGGCTGAGTGTGACATCATAAATCGGTGCATAGTAGTAGACTGTGGAAATAATAAAAAGAACGTGCAAGACGTGATGAATTTGATTGAACTTGCCGGTGAAGTGGATTATGTAGTGAGGTCTCCAACAGAAGAATCACCTCTTCTTGTTGTAAAATACGTTAAACTTGAATCAGTCCAAACTGCTCTTCTGTTTGACAAAGGTGTCATAGAAAGCAACTTTGTAAAAATACGAAGAGCGACGTATGACGACATTTCTGAAAAGAAGACAACGAATTCGAATGTATTTGATGACGAGAAAGAAGGTGAACTTGTTGAAAAGAATGGAAGTGGGTTTACCACGGGATGTGTTAACCTTGCATTACAGTATGTATCCTTTGTGGACAGTGTTGCAGATAATGGAATTTCATTCTTCAAAAAACTGGTGAGCAAACCTCCAATTGTGAAGAAGAAAACGGACGAAAACAAGTCTCCCAACCCCTCCGAAAAGCACACAAGCGAGTTTAAGAAAAAGAAAAGTTCGAAAACAAAGACACAAGAAACGCAACCACTTCTAGGAACGCCTTTGTAAGATTTCTCTGTTTTTTTATTTTTTTAATTACACGATACCACCTTTCAAATAGAGTTTCATTGAGTAAGATATCACAATTTATATTTGTAAATACCAAACCTTTTTTTTGATCAATAAAATTGAGAAACCCTAAAAATCAGAAGATGGAGGATATCGATGGATTGTTTGATTTCCTTGGGCCCGAGAAAAGGCAAGCAGACGAAGTGGAAGAAGACAAACAAATTGACGAATACATGGCCAAGAGAAAGAAACAAATAGAAGAGAAGTACAAAGATTTCATGCCCAACGACACACCCGCGCCAGTACTCGAGGCACAGTACCAGGGGTGTAGCCACGACATCGCAGTCCCTGATGGAACAACTCCAACAGAAGTAATGTACAACCCTAAATACCCTGAAAACCCAGCAAAAACGTATCCTTTCACGTTGGACGATTTCCAGAGACTTTCTGTCTCATGCATAGCTCAGAATGAAAGTGTTTTGGTTTCCGCGCACACGTCGGCTGGTAAAACAGCTGTTGCAGAGTACGCGATTGCACAGGCACTTAAGAACAATCAACGAGTTATTTATACATCACCAATCAAAGCTCTCAGTAACCAGAAGTTCAGAGACTTGCAAGAACAATTCAAAGATGTTGGGCTTATCACTGGTGATATCTCGACGAATGAAACTGCATCCTGTTTGGTCGTTACTACAGAGATTTTGAGAAACATGTTATACCGCGGAAACGATGTGATGAGAGAAGTCGCTTGGGTCATATTTGATGAAATCCATTATATGCGTGATAAAGAACGAGGTGTCGTCTGGGAAGAATCTATTATTCTTCTCCCAAACAATGTCCACTACGTTTTTTTGTCGGCGACCATTCCAAATGCTCTTGAGTTTGCAAAATGGATCGCCAAAATCCACGACCAAGTGTGCCACGTTGTTTACACCGACTACAGACCTACCCCATTGTGCCATTACCTTTTCCCAATTAACGGAAATGGAATTCATCTGGTTGTTGACAAAGAATGCAAATTCAGAGAAGAAGGATTTTCAAAGGCTTTGACTGCACTGGGCCTTGATGCTGTTGGAATTCAGACAAACAAAGGTGGGAAGTCCTCAGCGAAGAATGACATCCTGAAAATCATTACAATGATCAACAAAAACAATTTGGCGCCAGTCGTTGTCTTCTCGTTCTCTCGAAAAGACGTGGAGGCTCTTGGAAAATCGATTATGAGATTAAACTTCACCTCGGACGACGAGAAAGCGCTCACCACCAAAATCTTCACAAATGCCATCCAATGTTTGAAAGAGCACGACAGAAAGCTTCCCCAGATAACTGAGATATTCCCACTCTTGTTACGTGGTATTGGTATCCATCACTCGGGGTTACTCCCCATTGTCAAAGAAGTTGTGGAGTTGTTGTTCCAAGAAGGGCTTTTGAAGTGTTTGTTTGCAACTGAAACATTTGCGATGGGGTTGAACATGCCAGCGCGTACGGTTGTATTCACTGATGTGAAGAAGTTTGATGGGAAACAATCGAGGTTTTTGAGACCAGGAGAATACATTCAGATGTCTGGACGAGCTGGGCGGAGAGGAAAGGATGATCAAGGAACAGTCATATTAATGGTCAATCAAAAGATTGAGCCGAATATTTTAAAGAACATGGTTTTCGGTAAAGCAGAGCCTTTAATGTCTTCATTCTATTTGGGATATAACATGTTGCTCAACTTGATGAAACTTGAAGCATCGGATCC